GCAAGGGTAGAATTCCTAGTGCACCGCCAGTCCTCCCTGATAGTTCCTCCCTCTATCCCCCCTTGCCTGCCGAGCAACCACCCCCATATGCGGCTCCATGAGAAAGAGGGGGCGAGGCAGCTGAGAGAGAGGAGTATGAGGCTGTGGAGCCTCACAGGGACCAGGCAGCTGCCCCTTCCTCAGACTCCTCAACGGGGGAGGGCAGGTGACCGGGAGGGACAGAAAGGATGCAATTAAGGCCTCGAGGGACCAGGGAATGAGAGGGAGAAGCTCCATCTTCCACTTCAGAAGAATGCTGTTTCTATGTGGACAAGACAGGGGCAGTCAGGGAATCCTTGTCCAAGTTAAGAAAGGACCTGGAGAGAAGGCGCAAGGAGTATGAAAATAATGAAAGCTGGTTCGAGTCTTGGTTTAAGCATAGACCATGGTTTACAACCCTCCTCTCGGCTGTCACGGGGCCACTAGTCATCTTACTGTTAATAGTTACAATTGGTCCATGTATAATAAATAGGTTGCTTAGGTTTGCTCAGGAGAAATTTGACACTGTCCAACTCTTGGTCCTTTGCCAAAAATCTCAAGCTGTGGATACTGCTGAGGAGGATTCCTCAGTCTGATCAAGAAAAAGATGGGAAAATGTAAGGGAAAAATACAGAGGGAATCAAAGATTGAAGAGAGAGAGAGAATTTAATAGTACTTAAGTTTAATTACTTCATTGCTTATAACTTCCTGGGTAAGAGCCACTCAACTCTGGTACAAGGCTAGACTGAGACATAAGGGCGCCCGGAGATAGATAGCGGGATGTGGGCTGCCACCCCAGAGCGTGACCCGTGATAAGTCATGTAGGCATGTGAGAGATAACAGAAAGCAGTCAGAAATGCTTGTGTAAATAAGAGATTACAGAAATCAGGAAACTGACACGTACCACCCAGAGGGTGACACACATGAATTAGCTTAAATCTATAGGTTAGGTATTTTAAAGCTATTGGTTGTGTGAAAATGTGTGGGCTCTGGTACAATGGCTGTGAAAATCCTATATAAACTTTGCCTGAAGTTGCTTCAGGGTCAATTGCTCTAACCAGGCCTGCGTGTCTTGGGAGGACGGTCAACCCCAGCTAGCTGGCTTAATAAAGACTTTGCTTGAATTACATCTCCGTGCTCATGCATATTGTTTTCCTGGGAAGCCCACAGAGTCTCGGACCCTAACATTGAGGAGGCTGCTTGCCCTGTGGGGCAGGGAGGGCTGTCAGGCAGCGTGGTCTCCCACAGCATATCTTACCAGGTCAGTCATTATTATAGTTCTCAGAGTTCACAATTAGGTAAGATTAATGATTACTTTTCTGTTCTGGTAGTCTGCATAGCACCTTCCAACACTATGAAAGCTAGCCAGTAAGGATAAAGCTTTGATGGTTAAATGGGGTAGGAGACAGAAGGGCAAGGCAGATGAGGGAGCATAAGGAAGGATAACTAACACTAAAGGACTTTTGAAAAAGTCATGTGGAGGAGCTAGAGAAATAGATGGCTCAGAAATTAAGAGCACTGGCTGCTCATGCAGACGACCTAGGTTCAGTTCCCAGCACCCAGAAACTAACCACCATTCATAACACCAGTTCCAGAGGATTTGATGCCCTCTATTGGCCTCTGCACGTACTGTATGCATGAATGTGCTTACATGCATGGATACACTTACATACGTGTAGGTAAACACTCATACACATGAAATAAAAATAAATAAGTTACATGGAAACTTACTACTGTAGAAGCTTCCTAAAATATGCACACATATAAAAAGAGTTTAAATGGAGTCTACATAATTGATCTGTTTGAAAATCACTGGTAAGGCAGAAAAGAAGTGCCACATAACGTGGTATGAACACCAAGCTTATGCCCCTTACTGTTGGAAGGGAGTGAATTTCTCTGCTCTGGATAATAATCTGGGCTCTGCCTACCTCACAAGGTCCTTGTGATGCAGCAACTCCGGGGAACACCTCCACAGCTTAGACTCAGAAACCCAGGTCCCAGGCCGCCTCCAGTCCTTGGGACAGGAAGTCCCACCTCGGTGGCCTGGACCACCCTGCCCACATCCCAACCCCACCATCATCCAGAAGTGGATTACCACCCAAGGCACCCACTCCACGCCTCTCTCCAGAATATAAGGCTCTCCAGCCACAGTGTGACTACTGCTGGCTAAGCTATGGACCTATCGTACCTGCACCAAAAATCAGAGCCTGCAACTCTAGACTGCACCTTTGCCAGTCGCAATTATTTCTCTACAAACCAAGAATTGGACTCTCTGAACCAAGAACTGAACCTGAACTCCCTGATCGAAGATCTTTGCCTCTCGGTTCCAGAGGTCACAACAGAGACCTCTGTGTGCACTTATGAATCCCACCCAACTTCAGAACCAGATCTCTTACAGAGGCTGAGCAAATGGAGCTCAAATCGGAGCACACTAAATTGGAAGCAGAAATCTTAACCCTCCGCAATGTGCTGGCAGCTAAAGAGAAACGGTGTGGAGAGCTAAAGAAAAGGTTGGACCACACGGCCTGGGGGGGGGACTAAGGCAAAATATGTCCAGGAGCTACAGTATGTTCAACTCTCCAATGCCTACGTGAAGGAGAAGACATCAACTGCCCTGACCACCATGGGCTCTGCCATCTGCAGGAAGCTTGAAGACATGAGGAAGTCATCCACCTTCAGATCTTTTGAAGAACTAATAAGGACAATCAAGTCAGGAGTTTCAGGTGGCAGAGAGCTTGGCAGTGACATTCCTCCTTCACCAGGGAGTGGCACTGATTCACACTCGAGTCCAGGGAGTGGGAATGATACTGCTTCAGGGGTTGGAGACCAACTGCTTCCTGTCCTAGAGCCAGAGGAAATCCTTTGTTAACTTTGCCTGGCTGCCAAACCATCATCTGCCAAACCATCACAGAACCCATCACACTTGCAACTCCGCCCAACAAAAGCAAGCAAACAACCAACAATGGTAAAGCTATTATAATTCTGGAAATGAACATCATCCTGTCTTGAGAACAGAAATACCCATTTGTGCATAGATAATTTGGTGCTCTTAAATGAGAGAGAAATTAGTATTTTGTACCTAGTTATTTTACACTAAAGTTTGCAGATGAAATGTATGTCTGTGCTAGCTTTTCTGAGATTATTTTTAATGGACAGGGCAATGGCTCCAGAGGGGTCTTCAGCCAAAGCCCAAACACTCCTTTGGATCTGATTTTAGATTCCCCATTTCCTTCCTTCCTTAAGTCTTAGACGGAGCAGGCACCTTGAAAGCACCATCTGACTTACAGCTCTTGTTTTATACCAGAGCTGGGGCTGAAATCCAGGGCCATGCACACTCCGTACAAATTCTCTACTCTTGAATTTCAGTCTTGGGTTTATAGCTTTTATTCTTAAAAGATGATCAAGGAAACTGTCCATCTTTTCTAAGCCCCCCCCCCCCGACCAGAAAAGTAAAAAAAAAAAATTAGCGACTGATAATTGCTCCAATACTATATATTTTATAAAATTTCATTTTTTTCAAAGTGACCAATTCAGCAAAGCAATTTAGCTTTCAGATTACTATTATTTTGAACTCAAGCTGAAATTATAAATTTACATTGTCTGTACTTTTAATTTCTTAATTAAAATTGAGTTTCAAAGTTTAACCCTTGAAACAATGTGTCTCCACCACAAGTTGCATCTTGTTATGCAGCAGTTGCCATTGAGCAATCACCTTCTGCTGAGGGGCAGGAGGGGCACAGTACAGCCAGACTTAAATTGAAGCCAGACTGGGCATGGTGGTGCAGGCCTTTAATCCCAGCACATGGAGACAGAGGCAGGGTGATCTCTGAGAGATAGAGGCCAGCCTTATCTACATAGTGATTTTAGTGATTTCTAGGCCAGCTGTGGCTACAGGCAGACCCAGAGATCCTGTCTCAAAAATGGTCAAGAAAAGAAAAAAAAAAAGGAAAGAAAGAAAAGAAAAAGACTATATATATATTATATATATATATATCAGGGCTAGAGAGCTGGCTCAGCAGTTAAGAACACTAGCTGTTCTTGCAGAGGACCCAGCACCCACATGGCAGCTAACAACTGTCTGTAGCTCTAGTTCCAGGGGATCTGAGACCTTCTTCTGACTTCTACAAGCATTGCCTAACATGGGTGGACTTACATATATGCAGGCAAAACACTCATACATGTAAAATAAAAATAAATAGCTTTGAAGTAAGAAATATAAGCCCCCAGCTCAAACACTTCAAAAAGAATATCAATCCTGCATAATGCTAGCTGTTATGGCTTGAATGGACCCAATTAACTGATTATTCATCATTATCTGCTTGACTCTAAATCTGCCCTTGTTCTTAGCTAGCCCCAACTCAAAAGGAAGCAGAACCCAACCCTCTCAAGGTGTCAGGTCAGTAGGAACTTGTAGGAACTTAGTTTGAGTTTGTTCAAACTTCTTAACAACTGATTTCCACAGGAACTATAAGGTTTGGGTATTGTTTTCTGTTAGTTTTTTGATTCTTCTTTTCCTTTTTCTTTTTCATAATGCCAATGTCTGGAAACTTCCTTCTTTTCTCCAGCACACGACCTGAGATTGAAGTTTGTATTTTCTTGATTCTTGGCAATCCTTCCTTTGCTTGAGTACATTTTGGTAACCTCTCACCACCTGCAAGTAAGCCCCCAGTCTAGGCACAGGATCCTGTTTTGCTGATTCTTGAATGCTTTCCCTGTATACCTTTTATTTGACTACAAGTAAACTTAAATACTGCTATAAATGCAGAAGCACTTAGTAAACTATAAAGCCACTGATAGATCCCCGCCCTCTACAGACTCCCAAGAGCAAAGAGTTTTGCTTGGATTAAAATAAGATGTACAGCTGGGTATGGTAGCACACACCTTCAGTCCCAGCACTCAGGAGGCAAAGGAAGGCAGATCTCTGTGAGTTCAAGGCCAGCCTGGTCTACATAATGAGTTCCAGAAGAGCTGGGGTTACAGGGAGACCCTGTCTCAAAATGACCAAAAAACAAAAACCCCAAAACAGGGTGTACAACTCTTTTGCAAATTTCTTTTCGATTTATTATATGCATCAACCTAAATGATTTTCTGTGCTAGAGAGCAAAAGAAAACCAGCAGCAAGTAAAAAGTGAAAGTAGTCCAATGGGCAAAGGTTTATATGGCAGAAAGGCTGTGCTATGGACAATCTCCCATGGCTATTATGAACCAAACCTAAAATACATGTATTTTATTTAATAACTCATAAGAATGCTGTAACATTTTTCCTTGATTTTTTTTTGAGATGGAGTCTTACTTTATAGTGCAAGCTCAAGGTTGCCTCAAGCTTGTGATCCTTCTGCCTCAGACTTCTGAGAACAGCGACTGCAGGTGTGTACCACTGTGTCTGAACAACTTCAATAAATTCTAAATTCCATAAGAACAGTAAAGCACATTTCTGGTTTTGTTGATCAATCATTAACCTGCCATGCCTGGCTTAGGGTAAATATTTGTTAAATCAGTGAAAGAATATCATGTACTTTAGATATCAAATTTTGGATCCAAGATATTAACAATATGGATTGGTTGATAAAATCCTCCTGCCTTTAAACAACTACCCTTAATTTTTCTCTGTCCCCTTTGGGTAACTAGATAGTAAAGACTAGTAAATTGAAAAACAACTACATAGCAACTAGGGATATAGTTCAGTGGTAGAAACCAGGGGTTTTAGCAAGACCGTGGATTTGATCTCCAGCACCATAAGAAAATAAAATATGAAAGTTAAGAAAAATATGAAGTAAAATTAAAGTTAGCATGAAAATCTCTTTAAAAACTTGTATATATAGGAAAAAGTTGAAAATGATTATATATGTCCAGGGAAAGAGCCCAATGGACCTAAGAAGACCTTAAGTGTATACCTTAGGCTGATCTCCAACAGAAGGGTAGGCTATGGCAATCAAAAAGGGAAAAACATTAATAACCATAAAAGGAGAAAAACATATACCTTGAATAAGAAGGAAGACTCTTATTTCCAGAGCTACCACATTGTTAGATTTAAATGTCTACTTTTCAGCAACAACAATAAATCTATAAGACATAAAAATAAACAGGTACCTATAGCACATTCAAAGGATCACACACACACACACACACACACACACACACAAAGAAACTATCCCTGGAAAAAAGACCTGGTGGTAGATATCCTATTAAACAACTAAAAGATGCTCAAGAGGGGCCTGAAGAATTCCCAGTACCCACATGATAGCTAACAAACCTTCTGTAGCTCCAGTTCAGGGGATCTGATGCCCTCTTCTGACCTCCACAGGCATTGCATGACATGGGTGCACCAATATACACTCATACACATAAAATAAAATAAATATTTTTTAAAAGATGCTCAAGAAACTAAGGGCAGATTGGCAGAAAGTGAGAAAACACAACTCAAGGAAAAATACAAAAAAAGCACAGTAACTGATGTGAAGGAAGCATTGCAGGGATTCAAAGGAAGAACTGGGCAGCCATATGAAGAATCAGTGAACCTGAAGAATGAAATTAAAATTCACTCAATCTGAAGAAAAGTGAATGGGCTAAATAAACCCAATATACATAATATGGGAGTTCTAGAAGAGGAGGAGGAGGAGGAGGATGTGGGAGGGGAGGGAGGAAAAGGAGAAGGAAGAGGAGGCGATGCAACGTAGATACAAAAATCCTCAACAAATTACTTACAAATAAAATTCTACAGCACATAAAAAGATTCAACAACATAATTAAGTTGGTTTTATTCTAGGGATGCAAGGATGTTCACAAAAATCAATAAACATGATAACAACAGCACATAAATAAAATCAAGGATAAAAATCACCCAATTGACTCAATAGATGCAGGGAGGAAAAAAAAATTAGAAGGCGGAGAACATGGAAAAGGGATGAGCATAGAGAAGACTAAGAAAGAATGGCTAAATAATAATGAGAACATGAATATAAATATCCAAGGACAGCAACAAACTTCAAATTAGGTGAGCCTAGAGAAGTTCACACTGAAACTTATCAAACTTCAATACCAAAAACAATGCTGAAAGCAGCAAGCGAGGCAGTTCATAGCATATAAGGAATCCTCGATGAAACCATCAGCTGACTTCTAAACTGAAACTTTGGAAGTCAGGCCACTGTTTGAAAAACAATATTAAGGGCTGGCAAGTTGGCTCAGTGGGTAAGGCCACTTGCCACCAAGCCTTGTGTGACTCCTACTTCTTCAGATTTTTGGTACCCTCAGCTGACCCAGGCCACATTTTAAAGCCTATTTGACCTCAATGTCCTTTAATAACCAATTGAGAACCTAGGCCTGTCATTTACAGGGCTCCAGATGTAAGGCTGTACTTGGCAAAATTCTAGTACTTGAAAACTATGGGTCAGAGGGACAGTATTGAGAACCAATGAGAAAAAATAATCCCTGCCTTTGTGATCATGCACAATCCCTGCTTATGGTCATATGGGGTGGGGGGAACAAATTTTAACTAGCACCCATATATCTGCCACATAACTATTCACTAGAGGACACCTTATAAAAAGTTCTGGTGGAAATGGATTCCTCCTTAATTTGTTTAGCCTCACGTCCTGCTTAGCCACTTAGCCGCTCCTTTTCAATACAATTTCACTTGACAGTATGGCTTTAAATATCTCAGTACTAATGTCCTAACCTACACTGTAATCCAGGCCACCATACTCTGACCAACTAGCCAGAAATTGAGTTCTCACTATCCCCTTACTACTTTCATGATCTTGGAACTGTTAAAACTCAGGAAAGCACTATGTTTTTTTCTAAAGGATGCAAATCTGCTGCGGACTAGTGAAGAGACACATGCAATGAGGCCTGGGAGGGTCTCAAAGATGC